TGTAAACATTGTATCATAGGTTATGTTGTACAGTCCCTTTTATACAGCGATGTGTTTTGTTCCTGCCGAAAAACAAAACAAAACAAAACAAAATACGGACATACACAGGCGCTGCGCCCCACGTCCTCCAGCCCTGCCTGTGGCCGTGGCCTCCTGCTCCCTGCCTCCTCCCTGCAACTGCTGATTCGCTCTCCTCTCCCCACAGTGCTCCTGACGGCTCCCAGCAGCCTTCTCACTCCAGCTCCCACGACCCTCCTTGAATACTATGAGGACCCACTGGTCCCTCTTGGCTGCTGTTCGCCCTGGCCTTGCCGCCTCCCTGGGGCCTCCTAGCCCCTACCCCGTGCCCCACAGCTTTAACAGTGAACTGTGTGTATTGTACAGGCTTGGTTCTTTTTGCAGAGACTGCTGGGCGGAGAGAAAGCCGATAAAGTCTATGAATCAACCCGCCTGCTGTTCTCCATTCTGTTTCTTTGAGGCTTGGGAAGAGCTGAGGGAGGGGAGAGGGAACTGCCTCCCAGGGCTCTGCCGGCCTGTTCAGGAGTGACTTTGAAAACGTGGATGGGAAGAAATGCGTCCAGCCTCATAAGTCACCCAGTGCCTGGAGCTTGGAGGGGAGGAGTGGATGTTTTACTTCTTACATTTCCAGGTGGCATAAACATGTGATCACATTTCATCTAAGCCTGTAAGGTAGAAGATGGAGGCTAAGCAATCCCAGCATAAGGTCCAGGTTTCAGGGCGAACGAGGGGGCAGAGCTGGTACCCCAGCCCAGGCCTGTCCACTCTGACAGCAAATAGTAGTCACACAGCCTAAATATATATATTTGCCATAGGGTGTGTGTGCCATGCTCACCAGAGAGACAGAGACAGAAAGCAAAAATCATGCCCAGGGTGATGGCCACACCACAATTCCTTCTCCTCCGTTCTCCTCTCGGGATCCTGGGCATGCATGCACATGGGCCTGGTATGATTTTTATTTAAAGAATTGTTTATTTAATTTGATTTATTCATTAATTTATTTTAATTTGACCAGAGAGAAACAGAGAGAGAGAGAAAGTGAGAAAGCAAGCCACCAGTTCCGGGACTCAAACCATGGTCAGCCATGTGGGAGTGTCCAGCACCTTAACCACCATACCACCTGCTGGTCCCCAGGCTTGGTATGATTTTCTTTTTCTTTTATTTTATTAAAAAAGTTATTCAGGGACCAGCAGTTAGCGTAATGGCTATGTTGCTGGACTCCCATGTAGTTGACCGTGGTTTGC